GTGGCCATACTCCCCCGGCAGCTGTGTCCAGCTTTCCAGCTCTTATCTTAGTATTTCTTTCACTGCCCCTGTCTAAGGTCTCTTATAATTTGCTGCCCTCATTAGCCCTCCTGGATTTCTCTGCCCTTATCTCAGAAGCCTCTAACTTTCCCCCGAAGTCCCTGCCTGTGCTATCCCTGACACTGCCTACTTAACCCTAACTTGCCCTGGGACTCTGTAGGGTAAGGAAAAATGTCAGGCTTTTCTGCCCTCCCGCCATCAGGATAGATGATGGATCCTTGAGGTCCTGAGTGCATGCCTGATGGCGGGCACCTGGAGTAGGGTGTGGGCATAGGTAGATGGGATTCACCTGGGCTAAGACTGGGCTTTTAAGGGCGGCGTCATGGGGACGCCAGCAGAAGCCGAAAGAGAAGGCGAGAAAGAAGCAGAGAAACTGAGAGAGCAGAGAATGCCGGAGAGCCCAGAGTGAAGACCTGCTGGGGGCTGGGAGGCTGGCAGCCCCAACCCCCAGCACCCCTGCCTGCCTTGTACCTGGTAATCTAAATAAAAAGACCTACAAAAAGCCACTGAGGACTCTGACTCCTCCTTCACCCAGTCTGCATGGGATCAGAAAACCTGCCCTGTGTCCTGTCCTGACCTGTACAGACTCATTTCCCCCTCTACGGATGGAGCCTCTGGCTGCTGTTAGGACAAAGGATGCTGGTCTGATCTTCCTGCTGAAAGTGGGTGTCGTGGGGAGGCAGTCAGGGCTCCACTGCAGGGAAAAGTTCTAAGGGGCTTTGGAAGAAGGACGGCAGAGGTTTCATGTTGGGCTCCGTTTGAAGGACCATTTGTAGCTTAACCATCTTTAATCTAAAAGAAACAAATTTGACAATTAGGTTTAGAATGTGTGGCTCTTTGAGGCTGTTGTTTATTGACCTTGATTTATCACTATGCTCTGGACGTCGGTGCCACCATCTCCGTGCAGTTGTTTCCTGATCTTGGTCATCTCTGAGAGCAAAGGGTGCACCAGGCAGGACACAGTCTGCACTGGAATTTGAGGTGGCGCAGCATTTGGGAAGAACCCAGAAGGAGCCATTAGGTCGGCAGCCTCCTACAATATTCTGAAATGTATAGCACGTAGCAATAATTGAGTAATTAGCAATGCAAACCAATTTTAGGACTGAAAAGGCAAAGGTTAACGACACAAGCAGTGGCAAGTCCTCCACTTTTAACAATACACAGGGTAAGTTTTTTGTTTTTTTGGTTTTTTTTTTAAATGAGCCCTTTTTTTTTAAATTTATCTATTTATTTATACAAGCACTGGGTACAGTCAGAAGCGCGAGAGGGTGAGAGAATTCACCAGAGCCAGAGCGGGGAGCAGAGCAGGCAGAAGGACCGAAGTACACTGCTGAGGGGAGCAGCAGGCGGCAGGAGAGGTCTGCGCGCCATGTGAGACCCTCCTCCGGTGGCCGGGGAGCAGCCGGGGATCCAACCGGCGCTGCAGAGGCTGCAGGCAGCTTCGCAACCCAGCGCTCAACCACTGCGCCACCAGGGAGGCCCCACAGGATAATTTTTTATTAGAAAACAAAATTGTAGCTGGCAACAGTGGCCTCCCAGGCCAGGGGTATCACACTTGCTTTGTCAGTAAAGGAGCATCAGAGAGTTTTATTCAAGGCCAAAACCAGTCTCAGGTTTGTTTCGGGTTAGCCCTGGTAAGGGCTGGCAGCAAAACATTTCCCTGACACCCAAATCCAGGGTGAAGTCCACAGCCCTGTACATATAGTTGGATGCGGGTGGCAGTAGCGTATCTGGCTCTACTTGGCTGTGTCCAGGGTAGGTAGGGAGCCAGAGCTTGAAATTTTTGTTTTAACTTGTTGATGGTTGTCTGTTGGCACAAGTCACTAGACCAAAGATTTTTCTTTTCTTTTTTTTTTAAGATTTATTTATTTATTTATACAAGCACTGGATACAGTTAGAAGCGCGGGAAGGTGAGAGAATTTACCAGAGCCAGAGCAGGGAGCAGATCAGGCCGACTGACAAAGTACACTGCTGAGGGGAGCAGCAGGTGGCAGGAGAGGTCTGTGCGCCATTTGGGACCTGGCCGGGGAGCAAACTGGTGCTGCAGAGGCTGCGGGTAGCTTCGCAACCCAGCTCTCAACCACTGCGCTACCGGGGAGGCCCATGGGCCAAAGACTTCTTGCAACTTGTCTGTAAAGGGTTAATTGACAAGGTACCACAGCAATGCAAAGAATGGTTAGCCAGATTTTAGCTGTGGCTCAAGCCATCCATCAAGCATAACAATCCTCTTTTTAAAGCAATGTCTATGTCCCACACTTAGCTCTTTTTTTCTCCTCATTACATATCCTCTCACCTCAAATCACTTGCTTTTTTCCATCTTCTAAAACCTTTCTTGGACCTCAAGAGTCCACACACCCCCTTTTTTTTTTACCTCTCCCAAGAAGAAAGTAACTTTTTCCCCCATCTTTTTGAAAACCTTCCTTTTCTCTGCCTCACAAGAAGAGTCAATTTGAAAACAAATCCAATGCACAAAGACAACAAGTGGAACTAAGAATTTTCCTTCTCAGTTGGCTGTTTGGACAGGAGGCGAAGGTTCTCTAGAGGCTCAGAGGTCCAAGTGGTGGGTGGAGAGGATTTCTCAGCATCTGTCTGGACTCTCCAAATAGGTTGCGTCCCAAGCTTTTACTGGAGTATGATGTATCCAGGCATCCACTCCTGCCCCCTTGACCACCATAACAGAAGAGAGAATAGCAGGATGGGGACCCTCCTATGAAGGGTTATAAGAAGGAGAGTTAGTGGGAATAGTTTTGATAACAGTGTGGCTTTTAGAGTCACGAAGACATGGATGGCTTCAGGTGTACACTGGATTTTTGGACATTCCTCATGCTGATTCTCTTTGAGTAACTGATAAAGGGGCTGTGCTATTTCCCCAATTCTAGGAATCCAAATTCTACAAAACATCCAGTTATCCCTAAAAACCCTTGTAACTGGCCAACAGTCTCAGACAGGGAGTGATGAGAGATGGGTCAGATCCTTTCCTCTCCTAGTGCTTGCACCCCCTGAGAAAGCAACAGGCCAAGATATCTGAGCCGAGATGGGCATATCTGAGATTTTTCCTGGGAGATGCTGTACAGTCAGCCAGAAAATTCAACAGTGCCCGAGTGACTTCAGCACACTGATCCTTCCTCTTTGCACGCGGAAGAACTAAGGCTTCCAAATCAGAGGCTAAACCTTGCCCAAAGAGGTGGAGGCTGTCCCAGAACCCCTGGGGCAAGACTGTCCAATTCAGCTGACTGCAAGGGTGTGAGGGGTCCTCAAAAGCAAAGAGGAATTGAGACTTTAGCTACAGGGACACAGAGAAATGCATCTTTAAGATTTAAAACTAAACCACGCAGCTCCCTCAGGAATTTGGGACAAAAGAGTATATGGATTGGGCCTCCCTGGTGGTGCAGGCAGTTGAGCGCCGCACTGTGAAGCTGTCTGCAGCCTCTGCTGCACTGATTCGATCCCAGCCGCTAGAGAGTGTCCCACATGGTGCGCAGACCTCTCCTGCCATGCCTGCTGCTCCCCTCAGTAGTGTATTTCGTCAGTCTGCCTGTTCTGTTCCCCGCTCTGTCTTTGGTGAATCCTCTCACTCTCCCGTGCATCTGGCCTGTGCCCCAGTTTTTGTATAAAAATAAATCTTTTTTTAAAAAAAAGAGCATATGGATTTGGCACCACAGGATGTAGTGAGAACACTGCCTCATTTATAGCCCTAAGGCCCTGTAGTAGCTCCAGCTATTGCTCAGCTTTGAACTCCTAAGATAGGGATGTTACAAGGGCTATTAGAATGGACTAAGAGTCCTTGTTCCTTTAGATTAATAATGCCTTGTAGCCCTGACCAGACTTCAGGTCATAGAGGGTATTGACATCGATGGGGGAACTGATCAGGGCTTTTAAAAAGAATTTTAGCAGAGCTGTTTTGTCTCTCCCAATTCTCCCATTTGCCCATACATCAAATTGACATCTACCTCCACTAGCAGCAGGCACAACTTAGTCTTCTGATCAATATCCATGTGGATGGAAGCTTACATTTTTGCTAATAAATCTCATCCTATGAGCAGAGTCAGGCTTTCAGGGGCCACCAGGAAGGCAGGGAAAATAACAGATTCCCAGTCGCAACTCAAAGGTTGAGTAAAGAATGTAGTCATTGGATTGCCAGATACACCTTTAATAGTCTCTGACTCAGAGGAAGAGGGTCTGGGGTTATGGAGGACAGAGAAAGTGGCCCCTGTATCCAAAAGAAGTCAACATTCTGGTCCCCAACATTAAGGACCACTTGGGGCTCCTGTGGGGTTATAACTATGACGGGATCCAGCGTCTGCACCGGTCCCCTTCATGCCTGTTTCTGTTCCTTACCTCAGGGTTCTGGCCCTGGGTGCCCTTGGCCCCAAGGACAGTCTCTCTACCAGTGGTCTCCTTGGCAGATCCAGCAGGACCCAGGTGGCTTTTGCTGTCACTGAGCTCAGTTCCGCCTAAAGTGGCCCTTGTTGCCACAGACGTAGCAGGTGCCTGAGCTCCATCTCTCTTCCTGTCCCCCTCCTGGGGACCCTCTGTGACCTCAAAGGCTATTATGATGGCCTCTGCCTTGCGCCTGTCTGTTTCCATTCCCTTTTCTCCTCCTGACCTCAATTATAAAAGACCGAAGTGGTGACATACAGAAGGCTTTCCAGATTTTGTTCAGGGCCAAAGGCCAATTTTGTAACTTACTCGTGATAGCTGGCACTGATTGAGTGATGAATTTATCTTTTAACACTATCTGCCCCTCAAGCAAGTCTGGTGTCATATTAGTATGTTCAACCAATGCCTCCCTCAGCCTATCCATGAAGGCCGAAGGGCTTTCTTTTTCTCCCTGTATTACTCCTGCCAGCTTTGAGTAGTTTATTGGCTTGAAGTGTGGCTTTTTTTTTTAACCCTTCTATATTACAAGTAATAAAATGATTTCTGAGAGTCCTCTAGATCCCACCCTGATCAGATACAGGGAACTGCCTGACTTCCAGTGGGGCACTCTCTGAGTTCTTCCCTTGTTTTTCCCTGGGCATTTATAGTATACCTGCCATCCCCATACTGTAGGGCTCCCCTAAGAACTTTTTCATTTTCTCCTGATGAGAGTCTGGTTGAGAATGAGCATTATATCTTTCCATTCCAAATCAAATGACATGGTTAGGTCTTGAAACACCTCGATATATTTACTGGATGATCTGAAAACTTTCCTAGGCCTGTTTTAATTTGTCTCAGATCCCATAAGGAAAAGGGAACGTGCACTTTAACAGGTCCCCCTCTTCCACTAGCCACCACCTGAGTTTGCGACAGAGAGAGGTAGGGTGATGGCTTGTTTTCAGTCTTATCTGGGAGATCAGTGGATAATACTTTAGGCTGAGGAACTGACTCCTGCTAGACCATTGGTGGCATAGATGGAGGCGAGGCAGGACTTAAGTCCTCATTTACTTTATTTGGCGCCCCTGGGTACGGAGGGCAAGATGGCAGTATTGGCTGGGGGATGGGCAGAGGCTCCCCAGTAGGCATTAGGCTGTGTCTCCACATAGGTTTTATTGCCCCTGAGGGCAGAAAAGGCCTGTAAATAGGCCAATTCTGACTGTTTTCGTTCCTTTAGACAAAAAAATCCCAACTGACATATAATTGATACTTCCCTCAGGTGGCCAGGCTTCCCCATCCTTGAGGTCATACTGTGGCCAGGCTTGATACAAAAAAAGATAAACCCTTTCTTTTTCAAGGATTCAGGGTCAAACTGATCCCAACTTTTCAGGATGCAGGAGAGAGACGTGCTGTTTTTCAAGACGGATAAGGAAGCTCCCATCTGCAAAGAAGAACAAAGGTAGGTGTCCAGCACAAGCTTCTTTCTAGAGGCGGCTTTTCCTCTTTTTAACCTCTGTGAGCGATGAACAGTCTGCAGGCATGGGGGTCTACTGGAATTAATCACTCCTGTCACCAGCATGACCCGAATACCTGAGCCTATCTGCTTCTCCCACCAAACAGAAGGCGTGGTGTGCTGGCCTTCGTGGGACCATACCAGTTACCCTGTACCAAAGGGCCCATTCCAAGTGTCAAATGAGCTTATGGTGAGCCACTCTTCTCATCTGCGAAGAGAGTTCCTGAATGCAGCTGAAGAGTAGAGACTGAACGGTAGCTGCAGACAGGGTTATGGGGCCTAACTTCCAAATGTGCCCATCCACCATGAAAATGGGCCTCACAGCCAGGGTCCTTGAACATGCAGTAGCCTTGGGCTTGATATTTACTTTCCCAAAATCTTCTGTCTGAACAATTCCCATGAGATAAACATTTATTATCAGATTACTATACCAGAGTTGTATTCACCTATCTGGATTTAGGGCTTGGGGCAAACCTGTTGCAGAGGCAGGATGGGCACAGTGCAGGTTTTCTATGATTGGAGCAGATGGGGTAGAGCAGAGTCCTGGAGCCCTCCGTGGCTTTTCAGGCTTTTGTTGTCATTATACCATGTACAGAGCAGCAGGCTGGCAGGCCTCCTGGCCCCCGGCAAGTCTTTACTCTTACTGGGCTCTCAGGCGTTCTCTCGTAGTCTCGTTTTCTCTCTTCTGCTTCTCTTTCATTCTCTGGCTAACTAACTCTGAACCCTTACTTTCCCAACTTTCTGATATCTAGAAAGAAAATAAGCCAACTAGAAAATAATAAATTTCAGTCCGCTTAGTAAGTAAAATTCTCATTGAATTTCTAAATGAGTATTGAGGGTGAATTTAGTCACCTAAGTGGACCCAAACACTGGGAAGGTCTTGCTTAAGGTGATAGAAAGTGACAAAATGTGGAGTTGTTAGAAACACAAGATGACTGCACCTCCTTCTTTTACTTCCTTCCTTCTCCCAACCTGTCCACGAAGGCTCAGTAGGTATCTTTCCTTTGGACAGCACCTGTACTTAGCTCTGTAACTCTTGCCATATTTTATTATCTGTCTACAGAATCTAGGCCATTAGTACAAACTAATCAAGGGCAAGGCCTTCTCTTTATTCTCTCATGGTAATTAACACAATGACATGCACATAGGAGGTTCTCAAAATTTAAGTTTCTCCTACAAGTAAATTGTGTGGTACAAGTTAAACTTTCAGGGCCTAGTTAGTTTCCTGATGAAACTGTGAATGGAAAACAAAAGACTATAGTAGTAATCTCATCAAGATCACCATTGAGAGTAGGAGGAGTGGAAAAGGCAGACTAGGGTAATTACTTATTCATTATCATTTTTCAACCCAGGTTTTCCCAAGAGGGGGAATTAATATTTATGAAACATTTAATATGTGCTAATACTTATTCAAAAAAATAATCCACCCAAGAATGCTATGAAATATTATTCCCACTTTATGGATGAAGAAACTAAAAGAAGCAGCCTGAAAAAAACACAAGGCGACCAAAAGTAGGTAGTTTAGTTATCAAGTCCAGAACTATCTGATACAAGCAGGAATAGCTACTGAATCCTGTGGAGAGAATGGACTTAAAAAATTTTTTCATTTAAGAGCTATTTTATCAAAAAGGCAGTGAAACTTTGCTAATCTTTTATTTTTCGTATTTGACTTCTCAAAAAGGGTGGTACAGTTAAGAATTTTTTTTGATATGGTTTTATAATTATTTTCTCCCTTTCTCTGTTCTGAGACTTTTCCATAAGAATATTCACTTTAATCAGACTTCTGCATGGCTGGTAAAGTGGATAAGCAGTAACGTTTTCAAACTCTTTTATTTCTTCCTTTACTTTCTCACGCTTCTCACATATAGGTGGCTGTTTCTCAAGATGTCTTTTTCTCAAGATTTTTTCCTTAAGTTTTTGCTCTGTAAGTTCTCTCCCTCGAATCATACGTTCTTGGTGATCTTTAATTTGCATCTGTTCTCTATTACTTATCTGCTTCCTTCTCTGTGCAGTCTGGATGCAATGTTCTTCTGGTACAATTCTTGGAAATGTTGTTTCAGTGGAGCATCGTGATTGTCTAAACGTTTTATTCCTTAACTCTCTGGCATGTCCTGTTCGATTTATGTGTCTTTCTATGTGCTTCATCTCTCTCTCAGGTACTAAAAAGTACTGCTTTTGTGTCTCTGTGCTTCGGGTCATCCTCCCCTCCGGTTTCTTCCTGATTTCACTGCTTGTCTCTTGTTCTCTCATCATTTCCACTATTCTTTTATTGTAATGAGACTCTGCTTTGGCAAGCCAGTAGTCAAGAGAAAGAGCTTGCTCCCTAGAGAGTCTTTCATACTCCTCTTGATATTTTCGAGTTATCAGTTGTCTTGCTGCTGTTGTATGCACGCCACCTAGATTCTGTGAAAGGGAGATACAAAATTTTTTTATAATGCAAACATCCTTTTACTCTGAACACATTCAAACAGGAGTCCACCCTCCCTATTGACACCAATAAAACACACGACTTTTTATTTACTTTGTGTAACAATTGTGATTTTGCTCCCATCACTCCTAGGTGAGTCTGTGAACTCTGAAAGTTGAAGTACCCATCACCAAAAACAATAACTAGTTTTCAAAAAATACAGCATTAAGAGTTTCAAAATAATACTCTGATTTGCAAGTATGGATATAGCTGGAAAACATTTGCCAGTCTAGATACACTATTGGAAGGTGTCAATTGGGGAGAAGGATTTTAAACCTAAGATTCCTTTTCCTGATAGTTTCAAACTGCTGTGAAGATAATTTACCAGGATTTTTTTCTCTAGTGGGGACTGTTGACCTGCAGCAATCCTAGGGTCTTTAGATGCTTTAGCCCAGGCCAATCTGGAAGATAGAAAAAACAAGGTGGATTAAAATGTGGGTGGTATAAGAACACATCTACTTACATGTAGACTGAACCAAAAGCCCCAATTGTTTTGACCAAGGCCAAGGGTATTTCTCTCAGAAAGAGAAAACCAAATAGTAAGGCCATTTCCTCCATAGGAAACCACTGCCTTCCTATGGAGAACAATGAATGCCTTTTTAGTAAGAGGAGGATCTTTCATATAAACTAAAAACATACTTCTCTTGTGGACTCAACATGAACCACTCTGAATCTTCAATCCGGGATTTGGAGCGGGAAGAGCCAGATTCCTTGGTGAAGGATTGCCCAGGCACATTTGTTACAGACTGTTCAGGCCCCAAACCTTCTCTGTTTTGTGAGATGATTCTGGACTTTGGTGCTATCAGTTCATTCTCTTTCTGAAGTTTCTTGATCCGGGCTCTCTCTGCCTCTATCAACACATACAGCATCTCTGCCCTCTAATCTTTGTTCTGAAATTGTTCTTATTTGACCCCCCTCCCCTCTGCTTGCCTGTTATATACTGTCAACCATCCTTCACCCTAAATCCATTATGAAACCCTGTTGAACCACTTGAGGTGGGAATCTGTGGTTACACTGGGGCAGGACAGGCTGATGGCAACACAAGTGAAGACTATCAACTTTTTATGTGTCGTCCCTAACCTAATCTGTATTTACTGTGAGGTCATTTTGAAGTTAAGTGAGGATGCCTAGTATTTCATCTCTGTGCTTCTGTTTTAATGCCATTTACGATTAAGAGTTGGGCTTTGGAGCGTTGACAGGGCTGTTTGAATTCTAATTTTATCATCTCCTAGTTGAGTGACTCAGGGTAAGTGTATCTCTGTTAGTTTCCTCATCTGTAAAAAAGGGGATTAGACAAAAATGTCTCTCTCAGTGTTGTAAAGAACAAATGTGAATTAAAGAGCTTGATACAATGCTTGATATGTGGTAAGTTCTCAATAAATAGCAGTTGTCCATCTTCCACAGGGTAAGCCCTAACTCCATAAGGTCTTTCTGGTATAATCTATGTAACAGATTTTTACTTTCTCCTGAACACTTAACTTTTTTTTTTTTTACTTCAACAACACATTTGAAAATCAGTCATTTACATTGTGATTCAAACCACTCTTAATATTTTGATGCTAACATTATGAAGTTTAGGAGCTATCATCTATAAATACAATAATCTGTCTATATTATTGGAACTGATATCACGTATTGATTCTCACTGCCCTCTTTGGCACATTACTGTTTGTATAACTATTTTGAGATTTTAAAACTATAACCATCTTTTATTTACCTAGCACTGTGATCACAAATTGTGAAAATTAATGATTTGTTAACTATTTACACTTGTCACATAATAGCTGAGCATCTTTCATATTCCCTGTAATGTTGTATATATCTTTTTTTCCCCTGTCTCAATATTTTAATGTTGACTTCTTTGAACACAACATGGTTTTTGGTAAAGATAAATTCATTCTAATTTAACATATTTCAAACAGGAAATTTGGCTGAACAATTCAATCCCCAAACATCGACTGTGACTGTAAGGCAACAGAATATCAAATCAGTAAATCTACTGCACTTGGCGAAGAAAGTAAATTCCTCCTTTGTCTCCCAGCTCCAGAAGGCAATGTTTCTCATTGGCTGTGCAAGCTCTTCTCACTCAAGTCTGAGTCTATGTTCAAATTAGTACATCCATCACCACATTCTTCCAATAATAAGAAATCTGACAAAACAGCATTCCAGTAGCTGTGTCTCCGGTTTTTTGAGTCTAGAAATGAATTTAAGATGTGATCTAATCACAGTCAACAAATTGATTGTACTGACTTCCACATTTCATGAACATGTTCACCACGAAAGCACAGGATGAGGTTTCTCTGACTAGCGCTAACACTGTGTGATCAGTTGGGTGTTATGGGGATGCACGTTCTAGGTGACAGGAGTATACAGACATAATGGAAATAAAAATCAATCTTACTGCACATGGTGTCTGGGTGAGCAATAAAAACACTGTGATATGGGATGAAAATTCTTTACCTCTTGCTTCCTCTCAGCCCTTTTTCTAGAGTCTGACGTAGCAGTGATATCCATCGACATACATGGGATAGCTGGGAGTAGCTGGCATTTGATCCAGGATTTTATAAAAATAGCATGTGACCTCTACAGTATGTTCTTCATACATCAAAATGAAGGGATGTTTCAGAAGTTCTTTATACTTTGGCTTTTGTATTCATCCTTCGTAAGGCACAAGTTGACAAAGTTGATGAAACTGGGGGAGAATTCCCTTTCCTCAGAATTACTGAGCTGTGGAGGATCACCTTTCACCACTTGTGTTAGTTGATCAAGTTCACTATTCCACTTTGGATAAGGAAAGCGGCCTGTGGCCAACTCGTACAATGTGATCCCCAAACTCCAGATATCAGAACGGACATTATATCCTTGTTGTGATGCACGTGGGTCTATTTGTTCAGGTGCCATGTATGGCCTCCACCCAGCATCTCTTGTCTTGGCAATGGGGTCAACAAGCTGTCCACTGATGCAAAGTCAGAGTTTAATATTTCCACTTCTGTCCAGAAGACTATTGGAAGATTTGATATCTCTGTGAATGATTTTCAAGTTTTCCTTTATGTGGTTTAGTGCTTTCACAGTTGCTAAAGTGATTTTGCCTAAAATTTTTTCTGGAATAACATCATCTAATACACTGTATACATATTTGTAAAACTTACCAAACGAGGTAGACATGAATTCCATACAGATCCAATAGTCACCCTCTCTGAAGAGTGTCCCATAAAACTGAATAATGTATGGACAATCACTACTCTGCAGTACTACATCCAAATCCATAAGAAATTGTTTTTGTTCTTTTTCATCCACTGTTGACCGAATTCTTTTAACTGCCATTATTTGTGCACTTGGTTTGTGACCATTTTGTTGACAGAGCCATAAGCTCCTCGTCCAATTTCTCCAAGGTCTTTCAAGTCCTCTGCAGTGAAATTCCATTGCTGTTCAGGGGAGATCTTCAGTTTTCCCGATGATTCAATGCTGTGTGTTCTCAGTCTCCCTATGTGTGGATTTTGAACTCCTGTAGGATTGGGATTCAGAGTAAACCTTGCTGTAGATTTGAATGGTGGATTTGCAAAATTCAACTTCAGTGCTTTGCGTTTACCCTGCATGCTGCTGACGGCCAGGTGGCCTGGCGCTGGGGTACCCAACGGGGCTTGAATGCCACTGCTGCTGCTGCTGCCGCCGCCCCCAGAACCACCACTGCTCGGGCTCGAGGCCACCATTGTCTGGAGTGAGGAGCTGAGCAGTGCCACCTGTATATATCTTTTTATTAAAAAATTCATTGGACTTCTTTGTAGTACACAGGCATATTTGTTTTATATATCTTAGTCCTGCACTCTCATATGTTGTCCTACAAGTGTATCTTCACTGTATTCTAATTATTCACTTGTACTCAAGGTCAGAGAACAGTTTTCAACTTTGTAGTTGATGCCTCAGCTCAAAGACTGCATAGATGTTTAATACATATTAACTGAATGTCAGATTGTGAGCATCTGTGGGGAAAAGAGTCATGCCTGCCTTATAATGTCTGTGTTCTTTGACTGCATTAGGAAAGTAAGGATTATACCCATGGTGGATATTCACTTACTGTTTTTTCAAACTGAAAAAGTAATGTTGGGGAGGGGAGAGAGCTAATTTCAATTTCCACTTTCAAATGAGAAGAAACAGATGAGAATAAAAAATGCTTACCATCATTGGTTGGGCAAGAGACTGGCCTTTGTAAGATAAAAAGAAAGCAGGTAAGAGAAATTAGGGCCTTGTTGCTCTCCAGTGGCTTGCTCAAGAGTTTTAACCCCATCACTATTGTGTCTTTCCATTACTGCAGAGAAAGGCAGACTAGAGCCTCTCTGAGAACACATCAGATTGTCTCCACTGGAGGAGAAAACAGTGATGGCTCCAGACTTTTTACAGGTAAGGAGCTTAGCACAAGTTATCTGGTGAGGGGTGAAGGGGGGCAGGTGCAAAGGTGGAAGGGTATTAAGAAATTCATCTAGAAGCTGTCCCTTCAGGGAAAGTTTGTACTTTAGATTGTAGATTACACATGAATGAAAATAGCATGCATTGCTAAAGTTACTTGTCTTAATGTTTTTGAAACGATTAGAAAAATATCAAGTGTCCACCTAATGGAGGAGGAAGTTCTAAAGTTGGCTGGAGGACAGGCAACGGAAGGGGTGGAGCTGAGGTTCCACAATTCAACCTAAGGCTTACTGAAATTCTAACCACAACTACTCCCTTGACTAATGTGAGTTTTCCTCATTTGGAAGGAGTCTAAGGTGGGTTGGGGGGGATCCCAACCTTTTCTTTCAACACCTCCAAAGTCTTGGGCTGCTTCCCAAGTTCCCACTTTATCCCTGTTTCTTTTGGTTCCACGTGACTGAGTATTCCTCCTCACCTTACCCTCATCACTTCTGGCCCCTTGAAAAGAAAATTCACCTCTTCCAAGGGCCCGGAAAAGACCCCAAAGCACGCAAGCCAGGTCGGGCCCTGCAGAGAGCCCTTGCATGGTCCACGAGGCCCAAGGTGCGTTAGGACTCTATGAGAATGTCTGCTTGTTTGTTTACCACTGGGCAGCCGCCTAGGGGAAATATAGGCTCAGGATAGGCGGGAGTTGTAGTTCTTCAAGGCCACTGAAATTAGAATTTGTAGGGCCTCCCTGGTGGCGCAAGAGGTTAAGCACAACACTGAGGCAATCCCCGGCCGGCCAGGGAGCAACCCACGTGGCGAGCAGACCTCTCTTGTCTCGCCCGCTGCTCCCCTCAGCAGTGTATTTCGGTCGGTGGATCTGTCTCTGGTGGATCCTCTCGCCCCCCGCACCTCTGGCCTGTGCCCCAGCTCTTGTATGCTTGGATGGATAAAGCTTTAAAAAAAAGAAAAAGAAAGAAAGAAATTAGAATTTGTAAAGATTGTCAGGGAAAACGCCCCCGAGACTGGGTTCCTACAAGGTAGTGAAACCGAGAGCAGACATATTTCAGAATTGGGTCCTGAGAGCGCAGTCTGACACGCAGCACGGGTTACCCGCTTTCGTAGCCGACGGTACAGAACCAGGAGAAGGTGGCGCCGCGCCAGCCTCCACACACGGTCAGCTCCAGACGCACGAGGCGCGGCGCGCGCGGCGCTGGGTTATGACGTCACCGCCAATCGCGAGCCGGGACGCGCCGACGCCCCCGCCCGCCGCGCTCGGGGCCCCTCAGCGGCCGCGGAGTCGCGCTCTCCCGCGCAGTGGCCTCACTCCGGCCCGCCCCTGCGGGTCTCCAGGTAACGGGTGCCGGCGGGGGACCCCGAAATCTTGGGCTCCTCGGCGGCAGGGGCGCTAGGCGTGCGTGGACGGAGGGTTATATGGGCGTAGTCCCGGGCGGTACAGAAATGATTCCCCGGAGTGGGGGCTGACGACTCGCTCCTTAATAAACTCCCCGTCCCCCTCCCAGGGCTCGCTGCCCATCATGGACCTCGCCGGCCCTTGCTCCAGCTTTCAGTCGGACCTGGATTTCTGCCCGGATTGCGGCTCCGTCCTGCCTTTGCCCGGGGCCCAGGATACGGTCACCTGTACTCGCTGTGGCTTCTCCATCAACGTGCGGGGTGAGAGGGGCGGCCCCCGCGGAAGGTCCAGCGTGAAAGTGGGAGGAGCGGGGGAGTGGCTTGGCGACCTCAATATCGGTTGCATTGGAGAGGAGGACCCTAAAACAGGAGATCAGGCATTTTATAAAACCTGAAAGGGTTGTAGGGCCTCCAGGCCTAATGGAGGTGGAATTGGGGGTGCCCATTCCCGTCGCTTGTGTGCACAACCAATTTTTACTGCACGCGCAGACTTCGAAGGGAAGGTTGTGAAGACCTCATTTGTGTTCAACAAACTGGGTACCGCTATACCTACGTCGATGGAGGAAGGACCTGAGTTCCAGGGACCCGTGGTAAGTTAATAACGTCATGGACTCGCCCCATTAGTTGGCAGGTAAATGAAGTGGCGATTGCTGAGATCTGGAGAGGTGTGTGCCCAATTCCAAGGGGCATCTTCGAGCCATAGTGTTTAAAGAGCGTGAATGCGTGATTCCTGTGATAACTGAGGAGGATTAACCAGGCCTCCCTAATCCACAAGTTGTTTCTCAGGTTGACAGGCGCTGTTCTCGATGCGGTCATGAGGGGATGGCCTACCACACCAGACAGATGCGCTCAGCTGATGAAGGGCAGACTGTGTTCTACACCTGTACCAACTGCAAGTGCGTATCCTTTCCTTGCTCTCTGCCTTTTTCTCAGTTTACCAACTAGAAAACCCAGTGACTTACTTTTTGTATTGAATAAACTTTCTTTTAGTCCCATCCCTCATTTCTGCACAGTCCAGATTGGTGGTAGTTTTTATTGTTAAAAACTGCACATTCTTTTTATAACTGAATTAAAAACCTTTAAAGATATTTCAAAGGAGATGGAAAAATACAGAAGGCGAATGTTGCTTAGTAGTCAACATGATGTGCTGGAATCTTCCAGTGCACTCAGTAGTAGTTTTTGGTGAGAATTGACTTGTTAAAAAGAACATGAGCTTTCTGCATTTCGGTGTTAGGCAGTTTCACTACTATATGTCAAGAGGTGGCTTTATTTATTCTTTATTTATTGGCTTTGTTTATCCTTTTTAGGATTTGCTAGGCTTTTTAAAAGGATATATTTATGCATACAAGAGCTGGGGTGCAGGCCAGAGGTGTGGGGTGGGGAAGGAGTCACCAGAGACAGAATGGGGCTCCAAACAGGCAGATCTACTGAAATATACTGCTGAGGGGCGCATCGGGCAAGACAGGAGAGGTCTGCTGCGAACTTGTGCTGCAATAGGTGCGGATAGCTTCGTAGTGCTGACGCTTAACCTCTTGAGGCACCAGGGAGGCCCTGTTGGACTTTTAAAATTGAGCAGTTGTTGGTGGTTTTTTCATCAACCTTGGAAAATTAACAACCATTATCTCATAGAACTTGCCCTTCCATCTTCTCAATTCTCACATTCTGGAACTCTGATTAAATAGAACTATCTTCCATTTTTGCTCACCTTGTCTTTACTGTTTTCAATCTTTTATATCTTTATGTTTTCTTTGGATAATTAAGATTTCGGGACCTCCTTGGTGGCAAGGGGTTAAGCACAGCACTATGAAGCTATCTGCAGCCTCTGTAGCACGAGTTCAATCCCTGGCCAGGGAGGTGACCCACATGCCACAGCAGACCTCTCCTGTCTTGCCCGCTCCTCCCCTTAACAGTGTATTTAAGTAGATCTGCCTGTTCTGAGCCCCACTTTGTCTCTGGTGAATCCTACCCTCCTACCTCTGGCCTAAACCCCAGCTCTTGTATGCATAAATACATAAATATTTAAAAAAATACTTAAGATTTCTCTACCAGGCCATTAATTCTGTCTTTAGATTATTTCAAATAATAATGATCAAATATAGCAAGTCTTTAATTTTTTTTAGTTCATATCTCATCATTTTAAATAATTCTCAATTCTTTAATCATAAATTTTTCCTCTTATTGTTAAAATATGTATTACATGTAACTAACTTTTTTAAACATGGATATTTATATAGTGATAATACCGATACCCACAGGTTTTTGTGGGTCTCATATTGCTGTCTGCTATTTCTGCTTTCATGGCGGTTTTTTCCCTTCTTTTGTGAATTTTAACTATAAACTTTGATTTAAAAAAAAAATCTGAATACTAGGAGTTCTTAGAGGCTTATGGTGAAATGTTTTCTCAGCACTTGTGTTTTCCATTCAGGTGCCTTGAGTTATTACATTAACTTCTTGGCTTTAGAGTTTTTGGAGCACATAGGTAGTACGAATTTGGGCTTATGGTTAGAAATTCTCCGGGGAGATTTTTTTTTTTTCATCAGAGATTTATCTCTGGTTTCTTCATGTGTTTGTCAAGAGAGCAAGGGTACCATAGAAGCAGGGACTTCAGTTTTAACTTACCTGTCTAGATTCTTGGTTTTATCATCATTTTATCTAATGTAAAGATTGCCTTTACAATCTTTTTTTTTTTCCCACCTCAGCAATAGACTAGAAATATTTATAGGTACATAAGTCTTTTGAGAGTATTTTTTTTCAGCCTTTTTTTTTTTTTAAAGATTTATTGATGCATGTGAGACCTAGGGTGTAGGCCAGAGTTGTAGAGGGGGGAGGTGAAAGGATTCACTTGAGACAGAGTGGGAAGCAGAACAAGTGGATTGACTGAAATATACTGCTGAGGGGAATAGGGGGTGAGACAGGAGAGGTCTACTCCGTAAAGTGGGTCAGCTCCCTGGCAGGGGATAGGACTTTGTGCCGCAGTGGCTGCCAATAGCTTCCTAGTGCTGAGACTTCCTTGCACCACCAGGGAGGCTACCTTTTTTCCCCCAGTCTTACTTACTTTTTAAAGAAGTTTTACATTTTTATGTGGTCTAATTTATCATTTTTTTTTCTTTTGTGTCCTAATAAATCTTTGCATAGTTCATAATTTGTTAGGTATATTTTTAATCCCACCATTTTCAGTTGTCTTGAAGGAAGATTCAGGGCAGCTAGTACTTCACATTAGCATAAGTAAAAGTCCTTCTTTGGTTATTTGAGAATCCCATTTTACATTGCTAGAACCTCTTTCTTTGATCAAATATAACAAGTCCTTTATTTCTCCATAGGTTCCAGGAGAAGGAAGACTCTTGATTCTTTCTTTGGATGACTCAACAATTTAGCCTTCCTTAGAAGGTAGAGGGTATTGGGTTCTTAGATACCTTGTCTGCCTCCTGGTTGCAATGTTTTGCTCCCCAGAGGAAGCAGATCATCGTATGGGCAATATCAGCTGTCCTCAGAGGACTCCCACTCCTAATTAAATTTCCTTATCAAAGTTATATTTTCACACCTGTTATATAATACATTGTTACTTCAATAAAAAAGTTATATTTTTTCTTAAGACCCAGGCATTTATATGTTACTTACAGTAGGTCTTGTTCCAAAAGGAATTTAAATGAGCTTACAGGGATGTATTTCTTTTGTCAACCAATATATCAAGTACAAAAGTATAATATAAATTAGTACATGAGAAAGAATAACACAAGTACGAAAAAATGGAGCCAAGAATAAACCAATATTAAAAAAAAAGCTTATCCATACACCCCTGTCTAAATCTATTTGGTGCCTGAGTTTTAGGGAAATAAAAAGTGGGAGTTTGCTTACTAAGAGATTCAACAGATAATTTAACTAGCTCTATTTGATATGTAAATTTGTCCAAATTTACATACAACAAATTTTGATACCAAGGGACTAGTAAGTACTTACTACATGTGACATTTTGGATATATATATATTTGTTTTAATTGCTCAAGATAAATATTTATATTCATTGAAATGTATGTAGAAATGTATGTAGAAAGGTTGAAAAAGTAAAAATCAAGAACTCCCACTCCATGGAGATACTTGTTCTTTTAATGGGCTACACTGATACATGCTGGGTTGTATCTTGTGAACCAAAAACCTGAAAGGGAAATATAAGTAGTCCAGGCCAAGAAACATTAAAGTTTGCGTTTGGAAATCTACTCCCGCATTTCTTGGCTTAAATGGTGATCAAGGTAGGACAGTAATGATTGTAATTGTGTGATCCATTATGCATTGAGTTCTCAAGCAAACTTCTCTCTGACCCTCAGCAATTTGGAGGGATAGGCAGCCTTTTCCACAGTACATTTGAACTGTGCTGGCAGTTGACTTTGTAGTCCCACTCCTGAAACATGAAACAAATCTGTTCATGCGTCTATCCTTTAAGCCTTTCACTGCCCATTAACACTGACTGGATAAAACTCAACTTTCTTAGCAAAGTCTACAGAACTATATAACCACAGCTATCTGTTGCCTCATTTGGCATCTTACCCCCCCCCTTATATTCCAGCTGTACAAAACTGCATTTCCATCAGTGCACGCAATACGTTACAAGCTACCTAAAATATATATAACATTTGTTGCTTCTGGTTCTCATTTTTACTCACTTGCACCCTGAGAAACACATTTTCTATCAAAGCATAAATTGGCCAATTTATGACCTTTCATTTACTTCATATTATCTCCACTCCATAAAAGTATGTTTGCAGAACGTAACTAAATCCAATTTCATAGTTGCGATTTACTTCAATGTTAGTATCCCAATGGTTTATATTTTTGTTCTAAGCATACCAATCTTTCCTACTACGATGGGAGCTAAAAGGCAGGATCTGCGTTTTATGCTCCTTCTGTAACAGGGTGGTCCCCAGGAAAGGGGGAGGTTCCCTGCCCCACCCAAGGGAGGGTGGAGCTGAGCAGGAAGAGAAGAAGCAGAAGAGACTGAGGAAGGAAGGAAGCAGGATGGAGCAAGGAGACCTGGAGGAGGCGCATGGAGCCTAGAGACACGTGAAGAAACTGCGCTTGTCTTTTGGTCGTGGACTGGGTGACACAGATGTGGGTGAGACCCATGGGGAGGTGACAATGGCAGCTTTTATCTTGATGTTGATTTTGCTCTTTTCCTTCCGGGCTTGTCTGGTTGTTTGTGACCCTTTTCTGTGGGTCCCCACTGGAAGATGCTTTAGACTTGTGGCAGGCTTTGGGGCCTTGTTCTGGGCCGATCCCATATGGATGGACTTTTACCCACGAGGGGATGGGTAACTTTGGGTGCTTCATTTAGAAACTAGACTCTTTGCCTTACCTGTATTGTTTCCTAGTTTTATTAAAGTTCCTTCCCATTAAAGTCTCATGTGTTTTGTGTTGATGCGGCGGATGGCAGAACCCATGTAGAATAGGCAGGTTTGCGGGGTTTGGGCTGCCCTTCTCCCTGTCCTATAACACTTCCTCTTCAATGCTTAGCACAGTGACAGGAGAAAAATCCAAACTGAAGGTACATGAAGAAACCCGCTCAAACGCCAACAACTGTTCTAGGTCCCGCTTCTCTCATCCCCAAACGAAAGAAGGAAACGCGAGTGGGTTACTATAAGGTCATTACTGCTGCTCCTTAGTTTTCCACGTCCTCCCACAAAGGGATGAAAATCGGCGGGGAAGGGCTCAGCCACCGCATAGCTGAGCTAGGTGCTTCAAACACCCCATCTCCCCCCACGCCCGCTGAGCGCCGAGCCACACCCCTCCGCCGCAGCCGCTCCGGCTCGCTCCGACCGACCGACCCCTCCTTGCCCTCGGTTGCCCGTGCGCGCGCCGCCCCAGGCCGCCCCAGGCCGCCCCAGACAGCCCCCTCCTCCCCACGCGCGGGGAAGCCTCTTCCGCCAAGCTTGCGGCGCGCTCTTGCGGCGCCTGCGCACTGGCACACCACTGCGGAACTAATCCCGTGACGCCCGCGTTTTGACGCAGGTAGTACCCGGGAAGTGAAAACGGGGACCACAGACTGCGTCACACCCGGAAGTTGAGAGTCGGAAGTGGGGTTGGACAGGTTATCCTCAGGGGTGGGGAAGCGCAGGCCCAGGAGGAGGGGGAAAAAGAAGGCCGAGGCTCCTGACTGTTATTCTGAATCCGATACCGATTCTCTTAGTCCCAGGGGCACTGAAAAAGAGAAGAGTCTCTCATCCCACTTCCTCCCCACCTTGCCTCTCCTCAGCCTCAGCCATGGCCGAGGCAGGGGCTGGGCTGAGTGAGACCGTCACTGAGACAACAGTTACCGTGACAACCGAACCCGTGAGAAAGGCGGGGGGTGGTGCTGCGTAGGGGTCTGGGTGACTGGGAGGGAGGGGACAGGGTTTCGGAGAGTTGCCGCAGGGCTGGGCCGGGGGATGCGGGCGGGGCGGCATTGAGGAATTGGGTTTGGGAGAATCGCAAGTTCTTGAAGATAGTTGGAGTAGCAGAGATTGTGCAGAAGTCTGGTCGAGCGGCTTGAAGTAGAGGATGTAGGTGATGCTGTTGCAGCGGTGGTGTGTATAAGTGATGAAGGAATGGGAACTCGGGGATTGGGGAACTAGGGAGGTGATAGAGGAAAATAAGGCTATGTAAGAAAGCATGTTTGAAGGCCGGCAGTAGGGCAATTTAACCAGAAACTTACCAATAAATATCTCTTCAAGGAATGAATGAAAGGAAGTGGGGGGGGGGGAGGGACAAAAAATGGAGATGAAGATGACATTTTGAGAAATACAGAAAAGTATAGAATTTTCGGGAAAAAAATAAAAGGTTAGGTTCCTATCAAAGAGAGAAGGGAAGGTAGTTTTGGGTTTTATAGCATCTGGATTAAGGGAGTTTATAACAATAGTTACCAGAGATAGGATGCTAGGAATAGGTGGATGGGGGAGGGGCTAGGCTTGAGTGAGAGAAGAGTTCTCTCTTTAATGGAAAAAAGAATAGGTGATCTGGAAAAAAAAAGAAACATCAAAGATTAGGCATTGGGGACTGAGAAAATAACTTTCATATATTAATACCATTAAGGATGATTTGGGGAGGAAGATGGAGAGCCAGCGAGGATTTTATTTTCCTTTAAAGATTTGCTTCCCTAGGTTAGGAATTGTGTCTTTTCTGTATATTAGTCGTCATCAAGAACAGGAAATAATTTTTTAAAAAGATTTATTTATGCATACAAGAACTGGGGTACAGGCCAGACGTGCGGGGGTTAGAGGATTCACCAGAGACAGTGGGGAATAGAACAGGCAGATTGAAATACACTACTGAGGGGAGCAGTGGGTGAGACAAGAGCGGTCCCCTGCACCATGCAGGTAGCCCCCTGACCGGGGATTAAACTCCTGCCACAGTAGCTGCAGATAGCTTCATAGGTTGTGTCTTAACCCCTTGCCCAAGAACAGGAAATAATTATTCATGATTGCTCAAGGGACTCCCTGAGGTCAAAGATCTGTTCTACTTTATTTGCTCCCCAAACTCAGCTCTTTTGGTGCTGTGTCTGTGATACTGATTGAGCTGGGGAAGGGAAGAGAGGAGGCCCCTGGGAGGGAGTAGGAGAAGTCAATAGAAAGGAATTACAAGGGAATGCTCATCCCTCTTACTGTAACTTCCAGGAGAACCGGAGCCTAACCATCAAACTTCGGAAACGGAAACCAGAGAAGAAAGTGGAATGGACGAGTGACACTGTGGATAATGAACATATGGGGCGCCGTTCATCAAAATGTGAGTATTTCTTAGTAATCCTGCAGTTCTGGTTACCCTCTGCATACTGCATTCCTTCTTCCTTCACACATGTCCTGGCACTGCCCTTCCTGAAGCCCCCAGAGGCTCCCAGTCCTGTCACTGTTTTGGTGGTTCTCTGGCAACTAGGGGAGGAGATCAGAGTTACAGGGAAAGAATTAGGATGTGCCAGGGTCAGAAGGCAAGAGGTACCAGAGGTGAGAGAATTGGAACTTTGGATCCCTGACTCTCCAAAAAGACAGGGTTGGGATGCCTGAGTACCAGGGGACTTCTGGAGGCCTGGGGACTCCTGGAAAGTAGAAAACAATGATGGAAGTAAGAATTTGGAATGAGATCTATGAGAATGGAACTGACTCTACATCTATTCTTCTCCCTCTCTAACTGGACTCCTCCCTCTACATCCAGGCTGCTGTATTTATGAGAAACCTCGGGCCTTTGGCGAGAGCTCCACGGAGAGTGATGAGGAGGAAGAGGAGGGCTGTGGTCATACTCACTGTGTACGGGGCCACCGCAAAGGACGGCGTCATTCAACTCCCGAACCGACCCCCACCACCCCTCCACAGCCCCCTGACCCTTCCCAGCCCCCACCAGGGCCAATGCAGCACTAAATTCCTCTCATCCCTACCATTCCTGTGTCCGGCTGGCCCTGAATGTATCCATGTGGCTACTTAAGGACTAAACCCATAGATTGATCCCTTCTCCAAGCCCTGCTCCTGTCTCCTCTGCCTGATAGATGGAAGGGGGAGGAGGGTAGAAGAGGGTAACCAGAGATCCTGGAATTCTGACTTGCTGCTATTCTACAACCCACACTTCTGGGTTCTCCCAGCTCTCATTTCTCCGGTATTCATCCTTCTCTCTCCAGGGTCCAAGCACCTTGGTCCCGGTCTCTTCCCTTCGTTTTCACTGCCAAACTGCCTGTCCTGGGATCCACTTATCTTGGCCCCCTGCTCTCTCTACTTGAGTCTCAAACACTTAGATTGAGTTTCCAATAGCTCCAGCCTTCACTGCCAGGGTCCCAGTCAGATTCCAGGCAATCTTGCCACAGCTATGCTTGTTTTTCCTGGCTTAGAGCTCTTCTACTAATGTATTTATATAATCCTAACTCTTACTCCTTGCCTGAGGAATGGGAGGTCTTATGGGAGACCTCAGGGTTCCCAGACTTCCCCTGCCCCTCCTGCCCATCTCCTTGTGCCCTCAAGAGGAGTTAGGGAAGAGAGGTCTTTGTCATTCTCACCATTAATGGAAACTAGAAAATCATGAAACTTCTATCATGTGATCTAGGATTTCTGACAGAGCTGGCTTCAAGACGGGTCACTTAGTGCCAACTCAGTCTTTGTCTTCCAACTTTGGAAATAGATCCAATACAGTTCCAGGGGCCTGAGTCTTTGGGAGAGGGAAGGAAAGAGAGGGAGCAGTGATAGGGGTATATCCCCTACTAACTCTTACCCCTACCTTCCTAAACTTTTGACACCTCTGCCAGCGCAGATGTCCAGCCTTCCCCTCTTACTGGGATCAGAATGTTCTCCAGGCCTCTTGCCATGCATAATTGCAGAGATCAATCAATCCGTATCACCACTGAGATCTCATTTATTGCCACAGATGCACAAAATAAATAACCCAACATCACAAAATGTGTTAAATATGGACCCATTTATACATATGGGGAAAGAGGTGAGGTTATGTACAGGGATGAATTTGGGGTGTCCAGATGATTCCCAGGTTGAGGAAAGAAGAGGTAGCACCATTGGTTCCTTACTATGAATATGTGCAAAAGGGAGTTTTAAGTTTTTAATGGGAAAAGGCTATAGACATAGAGAAGAGGGTGAAGTAGAATTCACCTGCAAAGGACATTAAGTTTCCTACAGGGCCCGAACACCAAGGCCAGGGTCAATTCTCTTGGTTTTTGGTTTGGTTTGGTTTGATTTAGGAAGAGGCTTTTGCTTCTCTTGAGGAAAACCCTCAGCATGGACAGGGCAGGGAAGCCAAGTCAGCCCTTGGGAAAGCATTGGACCCTTTGAGACCAGGAAAGGTATAGATGGGAGGTAAATAACTAGCAGGGCCTCTAGTAGTAAGCCTGGGCCATTTACCAATACTGATGGGGCAGGGCCTTTCCCAAATTGAGACCTGGAATAGCTTAAGGTAGAAGTGCCGGGTTGTACGGGAGAAGCGGCTCAAGAGGGCGGCAACAGGAATAAATTGGGCTTTGGTACTGGATATGGAAAGGAGGCAGTTGGGTTCTTAACACTTTGGGAGAGAAAAGAGACAGAGGGGGTGGGTGCTCATTGGTACTCCCCACTGGGCCTGGGGACATGATCCCTGGAATGAGCGGGCTTTCTGTGTCCAAGAGAAAGCATCCTCCACGCAGGCCAGACCAGATGGGGGGTGGGGCGGAGAGGGGCAGCTGAGTATCAACCTTCCGCGGGCACTATGCGGAGCGGGGCGCGGGAGTCGCGCGTGCACAGTAGCGGGAACACGCGCTCCCCCAGGGGCCCGGGCGCCTGGAAGGCGAACAGCAAGTCCAGCGAGCGGCCGTCGTAGAAGGCCACGCGGCCCCGCTCCCAGTCCAAGTCCACGCGAATGCGCCGCGGTGGGGGCCCGGCGTTGCC